TATAATATAAAACTAATATAATATCAATAAAATAATATAAAATAATGTTTAAAAATATCTATAATATTACAATATTTTCATAAATAATAGTAGTAAAAGTTTTAATAATAGTATATAGAATATATTTGAATTGAAAAATTGGTATTTTAAGTATAAAATTTAGAAAAATATTTAGTAAAATTGTTGAAGTTATGTTAGTAATTTTTAGTGAAATTAGAGTATCTTGTATTGTATTTTTAAATAATTATGAAATGTTTGTAGTCTTATTAGAATATAAAAATAAATGCAGAATGTTTTTAATATTTGTGCAATATAAACAGTTTGAAATAGTATAGAGGTATAAGTAATGAATATTAAGATTTTATATAGTAGATAAGTTATTAGTAAAAATTTTGATATGAAAAAAGTAATTTTATAAGTTATTTTTGAGTAAAAAAATAATTTAAAATTTTAAAGCCTATTTGATGTTTGTGATGTTTTGAAGAAATTTCAAGTTTGATTATTTAATAATTCTTAAATAGTTATAGAGTTTTTTAATAAAAGTATAGACTTTAAAAGAAATTAAGTAATTATTTTATATAAAGTAGTTTGAAGTATTAAATTTTGAGTTGTTAAATTTGATAATAGGTTTTGTAATTTCTTGTTTAGCAAGTAAATCTGCTTGGTTATAAAAAGAATCAGTAGAATGTAATTTAATTTTATGTTTTAATTTTTAGTTTGTATAGGTTTGAAGATAATAATTAGGTCAAGATTTCTGATTATAGTTCTATTATTAATATAAATATTTAATAAAATATTAGATAAGATTGCAAATAAAAAACTAATAATTGCTTTAAATTTAATACAAGTTGAGTCAAAATATAATTGTATAAGTATATTAAATTTTATAAATGTATTATATTATCAAATCCATCTTATAGCATATTTGATCTTTGAAATTTGAAGATTTTTAATTGATCCATTAATATAGAAGTGTAATTTATTTGTATTAAGTTGGGTAATAAAATGGTTTAGATTGATTAGTTGTTTTTAATATAATAGTATATTGATACTTTATATAATCTTAAACCATATTTTTTATTAACTTAAGTTATAATTTTTCTTTTAGTTTACTTTTATTTTTTTTTAAATATTAATAGTAATTAGTCTATTTTTATCTTTTATTTTAATATCACAAATTATTATTAAAATTAACTTTTAAACTATTTAATAAATTAAATATCATATCTTTTTCTTCTATATTATTATTCATATTTAAATCTAGGTAAGTTTTGATTACTCTTGTAGGTTTAGATTACAGATTATATGTTTGAGTCTTTATTTTTTAGATATAATTTAAAAACAAATTTTTCTTTATAAAAAACTTTAATTAAATTTCAATAAAGTTAAAAGCATAACCTCATCTTTAATATTTAAAAAAAATAAAAAATAAACTAATTTAAGTTATTATTCTTATATACAATTTTTATTTTTATTTATTTTTTTTTAATATTAATAATGATTTTTATTTTGTTATATATAATCTAACAGTTAAATTATTAATAAAAAAATAAACAAGATCTTATCTTAATACATACCAAAAAAAAATATCCTTTAATCTATCCTAGCTAGAACCTAATTTGAAATAGTTAACTATAACACTTATAAGAAATAGAAGATATAAGGTCACATTAGGTGCCTACTTGTAACACAAATGTAGTTTAGAAATCTTTAAATCTAGAACTTATGATTCTATATGTAACAAAGTTTCTACTTGAACATTATTTTAATAAAATAAAAAAACAAAAAAAATACCATGTAAAAAAAAAGATCTACGTATACTCTACCCTTAAACAGCCGACCAAATTTATGACCAACTCAAAACACACGTAAAACACTAACGCTACTCTATATGACAATACTTCTTCAGACACAGTGACGCACCAACCTGGTATGTACGTACATACACATTTTCCGGATAAGAAATCCCAAAGACTCAGAAAGTCTATTCTACGTACGTACGTAGTAACACTAATAACGAAAGATATATATAAACGACATTTAAGCGTCCAAAAAATATATGTATTGTTTATTGTTTCATGACATATCGATACGTATCATACATATACGTAGTATATTTAATTCACTATGTAGCCGTATTATATCGATATTCATTATAAGGCATTGGAAATGAAATAATATAGTTATTCGTAAAATAACGTACACACTTTATCTTCAATATACTCATGCAAAAACATTCACCTTGTTTAATATGAAATATATAATAAATAATAACATAATCAAAACTTTTAATATTTGTGCTTCACTTTTAATGTTAATATAAAACTTAATAATTTTGCTTGTCCTCAGGTGTTTTCGTTTGTGCTTAAGGATAAATGAAATGTTTTGCTCTGGGTGATGATTCGTCATACAAATTCTTGTAAGCCTTACATATATATATACGTACGCATTATCAATTGGTGCATTCTAATTCGTCAATATTTTCAGGAGGTATCCCTGTGTACCAATTCTGAGCAGGCAAATATACCAAAAGTTTAATCAAATATTTGCACTCTTTCCTTTTCGCCTCACCCACATCTTTTTCGTCGGAATGGCAAAAAGTAAGAAACAAACCACAAAGTCTCATGCCGCAGAGACGTCTCAATCTTCCACAAACAATAACAGCAGGTATGCTTAAGCTTTAAACTTTTTGATTTTGGAGGAAAATTTTTCTTTTTTTTTATCGAAAATCAGCAAAGATAAGAATACATTCTTCATCTGTAACATCTTCAAATATTTTAAATTTTAAATTTATGAATCACACGTATTCTATGAACCACAAATTTTTTCGAGAATTTGACATCCTTATTACTTAAAGTGGATCGTTAATTTCTTTGGTTCTGACATGATTATCCATATTAAGGAATTTTAACCTACCTAGAGTTTTATTTCTTGCTATACTTTCATGTTTATTATATTTGGGAAATTTTGTCATTATAGTTCTGTCCTTATTCAATAATATTGCCAATTTATTTCGTATTTATTTTTACGCTAGCCATTTACTTTCTTACCGTATCAACTTTTCACTTGATAAATTAATAAATGATTAACACGATTAAAAATATATATTAATAATATTTATCTTTGATATTCAGATTTCAATCTAGCTGGTTTACAGAGAGCATGGGTCGTGAACATCATAAGCACTGTGCCGCAGCCCTTAAAACACTGAAGCATCATTCTTCGGCAGCACCGTTTCTTGAACCAGTCGATTATGTTAAATACAACATCCCAGACTACCCTGATATTATCAAAAATCCTATGGATCTTGGTACAGTTGAACAAAAGCTCAATGATTGTGCTTATGAGAGTGTGAATGCGTTTATTTCAGATGTACGATTGGTATTTTCCAACTGTACCATCTATAATGGAGCTGGTCATCAATTTTCTACTTATGCAAAAGAGTTAGACAATTTATTCACCCAGCAACTCATGAAAATGCCTGGTGTTAAAGAGGAGGTGAATTATCCTTGCGTCGTGTATCCATGTTAATAAAGTCATCAATTGCTTCATATTCATGGATACCAATTGTTATTTTTTTTTTTTTGTTACAGATACCGCAAAAATCTGTTGTAGAACCTTCTAGCAAAGGAACAAAAACATGTAAACCTGTTGTAGAATCACCTGCGGCAAAACCTGCAATATCTGATGTCAAACGTCCTAAAAGGACTATCAAGGCACCTGCAAAAGATTTACCTGATGTACCTGCTGCTCGTCGTAAAAAAATTAAAAAGAACACTGATGTCGCATTTTGTCGTGAAGTTATTAGGGAATTACGAAAGCGAATTCATTGGCATTACGCGTATCCATTTTATGAACCAGTTGATGCTGCAAAATTAGGTGTTCCAGATTATTATAAAATCATCACACGCCCGATGGATCTTTCTACTATTAACACTAAACTGGAAAATGATCATTATGTAAACGCTGATGAGTTTGAAGCAGATATTCGTCTCATGTTTCAAAATTGTTATACTTATAATGGACCTGGGAGTGATGTATATAATATGGGTAAAGAATTGGAAAAAGTTTTTGACAAAAAGTGGGCAGAAAGACCAAAAGTTCAGGCCCGTCAAGAATCAAGAGAATCTGAGAGCGAATCTGAAGCGGATGAAAGTAAGTTTTTCCATTATTATTTTATTTTAATGCCAAATCAAAAACTCAAGCATATTTACATATATACATGTAGGTGATCATTTGAAGGCTTTGCAGAAACACTTGGCTGCTTTATCAAGCCAAATTTCTCAGATGCGAAAACCATCCACAAAATCAAAGGCTAAAAAGGCAGCAAAGAGCACAAAGCCTAGTACAACTAAAAGTACTCCAGATAATCTGGTTGAAGATGGAAAGAAATCATTAAAGCGTCCTCGAACTATTAATAAACGTGAAGAGCAAGAAGGGCTGACATCAGAACAAAAAACAGATCTTAGTGAAAGGATCGAACTTCTCTCTACAGAAAAAATGAACGAACTTATCCGTTTAATCGAAGAGAGTGGTGCACCTATGGAGGTATTTTTATTTGTTCTTCAAAAACGTTATTATTCATCCACCAACTTTATTCAGTCATATTAAGAATGGCTCATCTTTAGAGAGGAAGTGGTGGTTATGAAATAGAAATTGAAGCACTTGATTATAATACTGCCAAAAAGATGTATGATTTTGTATTGAGGCATACATCAAAAAAAGCCAATTCGAAAAAAAGAAGGCCTCCTTCTAAAAAGCCTCGTACAAATGCCAATGAAAAAGAGCAAGAACAAAAAATTCTAGCTTTAGAAAGAACCCTAGCTAAGTTTGATCACAAATCTCCAACGCCGTCTCCCCAAGGTATATTTTAATTTACTACATCAATTATTTGATCATATTTTCAGTCATCACATCACTTATAAATATGTCTTACTTCATAGCTAAATATGGAAGTCATTACAGTTCGGACGACGATTCTTCAGACAGTCAGAGTTCTGATTCATCTGGTTCAGAATCGGAAGATTCAGGTAGCGAGACTGTTTAGATCAGTGAAAGTCCTTATTCAATCCGTTTCCTATTTCGCTTTTTTTTCTTTCTTTTGCCCCTTCACTCTTTCATTGCTGCGTAATTGTCTGGGGAAGGAAGGAAAGTGAGGCACACAGTACAGAGAATCCTATTTTTCAATATATTAGCGCATTTATTCTTCAAGTTTGTTGTGACAAATATTATGCCGCCATATAGCGCAGCATTGAAAGGGGCGCATAGATATTTGAAAGTTTCCGTCCAATACGATATTTTTTTTTCCCTTTTTTTTTTTTGTTCAATGTGGTCTAGTTTTGCCCTTAACAAAATTACATACCTAATAAAAATTTATTAGTTACTTGTAGTTTGGAAATTTTATAGTTGCATTTCCAATGAACGAATATCTCATCTTTTTCCCTCTAATTTTCTTGTTTGTTGTATGTATTTTTCCAAATCCACCAACTTTGCAAAAAAAATGATCATTTTGGACTCGCCAAATCGGTATATTACACGATAAAAAGAAATATCAAAGGTATATAATTCATTATCGGTTCATTCATCGATTAGAACATTTTTGTAAGATAAAATGATATATGCATTGGAAGTTTTTTCAACTGATTGAGCATATTTGTTTTAAAAAGAAAAAAACTCGTCCTACGAAACGAAGAAAAACTACTGTTACAAATCCAAAACCGAAGGGCAAAGCCAAGGCCCAGACTCAGAATATATCTCCAACTTCCACACAAACTTTATCTCAAAATTCTCCAAGAACAGAACCTCCACCATCCCCCCCTAAAGAGGAAAAACGGATAATTCCACAAGAAATGATCGACAACTATGAACCATGGGTTCTACCTACAGAACGAAAACTCACATGGGAGCAAGTTTATAGTGAGTTATATTATGGACCTCTTCGAAAGGCCGACGAAGTAAGTACTTTAATGAATATTTATATTATTTTATGCGATTTTACCTAATCATTTATAAATTTAAAAGGAAAGGCGTAGACGAGAGGAAGAACAATTTAGGTTGGCTCGAGAAACTGCAGAAACTATTAAAAGGCAACAAAAGCAACAAGAGAAAGAAGCTGAAGATAAACGTCGTCGCGAAGTAGAGATTCAAGAACTTCGCGCTGCTGCTAAAGCCAAAAGGCTTGAAGAGGTAATTATTTCGCACATATATAATTTTAAAATTCAATTATAAAATTTATACATTAACAATCAAAAACAATTATTAAGTGCAAGAATACACCATTTGATTTTTATGGCCCCCTTAACGAGATGAATGAATTTTATCGAACGCATAGTCAATATATCGACCGTGGGCATAAGAAAATTAGAGCGGAATTTGGTCCACCGATTCCTGAACTTCCTTATACAGTAACCCATAATCCAACGCATTTTAATGTTGACCCACTTCAGACTCGTCTACTAAACAAAGCTCGAAATCCACCTAAGAGTCAAGACAAAGATCAAACACAATCACTATATGTTTATTCAAAAGTTTCAGAATGCCATAAATCTACATAATTTTAGAAGAATCATGAAGCTATTGTATTGATTGACTTTGATTTATTAAATAATTGAATCAAAAGAGAAAAAAAAGCAAAATCTTGTACAAAAATTTCTACTTTAATCAAATAAATTTGCTTTTTTATATATTTATACATGGATTTGCAATGCTGATACTATAATTGAAAATTGGCATATTTAAATTTTTTTTTTCTCGCGCTGCATATACAAAAAAGGAATGTCACAACATATCATGAACGCAAATCAGTTTATTAATGGTTAGTAAAAAATGAACTTATGATTCACTAAAATCCATATTATATATTTGCAAAGATCCTATTCTGTAATAACAATTTCTTTATATTCCTCTACTATTATACTGTAATATAATATTAAATGCAATTTTATCATATATAAACTGATATGTAATCATTGTAATTTCAGTAACAGTAAGGCGAATGCATTGTTTTGTATACACAATTGTTTAAAATACTAGATTTGAGTAAACAAAAAAAAAAGAAAAAATGAGTAATGAATTTTCGAGTTTTTGTATAATCGAAAAAAAGGAAAGAATTTATGATATAAGAGAAAGTGATATTTTTCGTCAAAAATGTAACATTCCAAAAGAATAAATCATGTGAAATACATTATTCAGCATTATGAATCCGTTGAGTATAAAGCGAAAGAAGAAAAGAAAAAAAAAAACCAAAATATTATCGTAATACATTTAAAGAAAGGATTAAGTCCTTTTTTTCTATTTCTTTTATCTTTCACTCGTTCCCAACCAAAAAAAAAAAAATACAAAAACAATATATTGTATTTCATATAAAATATCCCCTTTTGTATAAAAATTTCTACAATATGTCTACTGTAATTAATAATAATAATAATCAAAAAAAAAAAAGAAACTGCTAAGTGGTCTGGAACAAACATCGGGTATGACTATAACCTATAAGTTGTAATTTTTAGTAAACTACTAATGTATAAAAAAACTGGTTATATGGCATGAGGATACCAAAATTGATCCATTAATAATATATATAATGTATTGGATCTATGGCTTCAAAAAAAAAAAAACGAAAAAAATATAGATACAAAGAAGTAAATTATCGATTTAAAAGTATGGAAAGTATGTGATAAATTCATTATTGATCTCTTTTCTACAATATTAAACAAAAAGTCGTTCCTGACGTGTCAAACAAAATGATATAAAAAAGAGAGGAAATATACATTGCGAGTTTCATTATAGGAAAGGCGAAATCCGCAAAATGATTTTGAAAGTTTTCTTTTTTTTTTTTTTCTTTTTGCTTTTTTTTTTTTTTTCTTTTTTTTTTTTTTTTGTGCGCAAAAAATGCCTTTAGTTTATCAATATATATGTATTTTTTGTTATCGAATGTCCTCTTTACAAACTAAGAATTTATTTCTTGGGCTTATTCATCATAGGATTCACAGCACACATCCAAATACGTGTTTTATAGATTTTGAACAGGTCACGGACCAATTCACGAAAATCAATACGACGCTCAGCAATAAAATAGAAAGTAAGTTTGCGCCGATCCCTAAATTACATAGAATTATCAATACAATTATAATGTAATATGATAATAGTAAAATTATGCAAACAGTAAACATACCATTGGTATTCAGCATCAACAACTTCCATTGGCAGTTTCTTTTGACGAACCTTAGTCTGGCAAACTAGCATAGCCTTTGCTTCGTCTTGACTTTTTGTAACAAGCATTGTGACTTCCGCAGGCTGTGCTAATCGATAGATACGTTTCGGATGAATTTCTTTGTTCATACGATGACCATCATTCATAGAATCAGCATGTTGCTGTTGCAGCAACTGAACTTGATGAGGCATGATTGAATCATTGGTTACTTTTCCCAAATCTTTGCCTCGATCCGCCTCAACAATGACTAGATCGCCCTTTTTAACCATGTTTCCACTATTCTCGGCAACGTAAAATAGGTCTGTACGACCTGCTTTGAATTCAACAAGAAATAGGGGACCATGTGTAGGAACAGCGTGAAGTGGAAGACCCTTTCCAAGTTCATTCCACGCCCGCGTACGATGTTCATCATTATCAAAATAATCATCAATGTCTTCTGGAATGCTAGCATACGCTGTATCATGGGTATATGTTGCCTGTTGTACATTACTTAAATGGAGAGAATCCAATGCATCATTTATATTATATCGAGATGGCTGGTTGTTCGAAAAAGAAATCGGAGGTCCTGCAACTGAATGTCGTCTTTGCACAAGATGTGCAAATGCTGGATCAATTGTTGTACTACTAAAATGCCAGGAAACAATGGCATAATAATAATGAATTATTACAATGATCAAAAATATAATAAATGCAATAAATATATTATTAAATCCTACCGATGATTTAGCATTCGTAAGTCCTGACCTCCATCCATATATTGGTATTCATGTGCATATGTTGGCGCCTGTGAAAGAGAGAAACGACGTTGCCTCATCTTTTCTAAGCGTTCGCGATCAGCGGGTAAACCAGTCATGACTGCTAAGTATGAAGAAGCTGGTGGTGGTTGTCTGGGTGTGTTCAAGCCATCCCACATATTTCCGTAATCAGATGTACCAGGAACAGAACGTCTATGATGAAGCATAGGTCCATCACTTTGAGAATTCTGATTGTTCCAAATTGAATTAGATTCCGAATACTGTTCAGAATCTCGTCGATAATTACTCATTTCATCTCCATGCGGAAGATCATGGTGGCCAGAAATAACTCCATATGCAGCAGCGGAGGATTTTGATCGAGTGCGAAATTTCATACCGAATTGTGAAAATTCATCAGTTTCCTCTTCCATTACCGGAAGAGAATGTCGATATGCAAAACGCAAGCCACCCTCGCTTTCACGGCGAGATGCTGATGCAGGAACATAACAACCAAACAAATCAGTATCATGTTGTCCAACTGAAAAAGAAAGGCTTCGATGTTGACGATACTGCGGATTTGGAGGGACTGGGACCGGTAATTTTCCAGTGATGCCTGGAGGCGAGCTTATTTCCCTTTCATATGAAGAACTGCTATTCACATCTTCATTATTTACAGTAGGAGGAGGAGTAGGAGTTGTATGAGGAGCTTTTTTTGATCCAGGACCAGATTGCTGATTTTTTTCATTCCAAATAGATGAGGCAGTGGTCCATTGTAGTCCTCCTAAAGCATTCCAATTTCCACTGTTGGCAGAATCACCATTTCCATTTGGGATACCTTGTTGGATTTTTTGTGGTGGTGAATTAGACGAGACTAATCGGGAAGCTAGATCAGCTCCACCATTTAGATATCGTTGCGGTGTGCTTGAATTACTAGATGCTCGTCGCAATTTATGCTCTTGATTGTCTTCATCTGATTTTTTTGCGTAAACATGATATTCATCTGAACCTTGCGGAACATTTCGGATCACATTAGTGGGCGGACTTCCAACAACTTTCCAGCTCTGATTGTTGTACGGCACAGAGTTGGCCGATGTCGTAGGGGAGTTTGATGCTGGCGACGGACTATTCTTGCCGCTACGGGAATCACCGTTGACACTAGATTTATTAGTTACTGATGCAGGGCTAGCAGATCTAGCAGAGGTAGATTTGGGCTTTGAGAAATAATTAAGAAAAAGAAAAGATAAATGTTACTAACAACTCATTAAAATATTAATCAGGCGATTTAACAAAGTTTGTTATTAGCATTAAGGTAAATCTACATTTCTCTCGCCATGAAATTGTCCGTGACAAATGTGAAATAGTATAAGCACAAAGGTAATGCGTAAAGAACTTTTTTTTATTGGCTATATAATATATATATATATATATATTTATATATATATATGTATATGTATATATATTGTTTTTTTTTGTTTTTTTTATTGGTACTTACAATCTTCCAAGCGTTTGGGACAGGCTTTGTCTCATGCTGAATTTAGTTGAATAATACATAAGATGCAATATTAGCCATATAATGTGTTTGAGTAAATTTTTTATCTTAAATTCGTGAAACCATACCTCCATTATGGATATAACCTATTCAAAGCGGAGTTTTGTTAGGGAAAATGCATAATTTTGCTGTTAGTATATAAATCTCGTATTTAAGCGATCGTCTGTCCATAAACTTTCTGAACGATTAAAAGTTTGCTTACTTACCTTTACAGAAATACTCTGTTGCTTACACAAATAAATACTATCGTACAAGTTTTTTAAAATAATACAGGAACGTTGTGCAAGAATCTGTACACACTAGACAGTAAATATATTCTACCCGCAAAAAGAGAAAAAAAAACCAAAAGACGAAAAAAAATTATTATATTTATGCTAACACAAGGGCTAATCTTATTCTTTGCTTTTATGGGATTTATGTGCGTGGTAAATGTACAACTAAGGTCTATTGTCAGTCTAATGAACAGGTTCTAATATTTCTTTGGACCACGAGAGCCAGAGGTCTTTTTGGGGAATATGTGTTATGCGAGTTTCTACACCCAGGTCCAGAAAAGGTATTTACAAAAGGGGTGGGGAAGAAACAGAGTTTCCGTAGAGTTTTCGAGGAATATTTGCAAGGAAAGGAACCGAAGGAGGGATTAGGAGAGGAGAACAACCTGTTACAATGTCGTAAATGAAGAAGTAAGGATCAAGCCCAAGAAAATAAGATCGTTTTTGGAAGAAAGGGGAAAGAATAATTAATTATGGAAGAATTGAGTGACTTATTTTGTGTGCAAGTCGCACGAAACTGGCCAAAAGCCAACACATTAAACGTAACCGCAGAAAGTAACATACATTACCTGAATTAATTATTATAGTTATAATACTCTATAAAATTTTGGTATATATGACTCCAGACTTTGATTCATCCAGCCGATTGAAAAAAAAAAAAAATAACCCAAGACACAATATAAATATCAAATTGGCCTCGGATAGAACTTGGGTAAGTTGACACGCAAAAATGTATAAATTCATTATAAATCAGTATTTATATACGGATCGGTATAAAATTACGGGTGTATTG